TCGAGTGTTTCAATCAAAAGTTTATATCTTATCTAACCTCAGCTTTACAGCGCATGCTTGGAGAGAGGCCAGTTCCCGCTGCTCTGGAAAGCGGGTAAACTGGTCCTCGTGCGTAAGACGGGCGCCCTGCGGACTCTCCGTCCGCGTGCCGGCCCATAGTGCTGCTCGACGAGGTGGGGAATGTCTTCGAAAGGATCATTTCGAACCGCCTCGTCGCGCACTTGACGGACATTGGGCCGGACCTGTCGGACGGCCAGTTCAGCTTCCGCAGAGGGCGCTCCACGGTGGACGCCATCATGCGCATTAGAGACCTCATGACGGGGACTGCAGTATCCAGGGGTAAGTTCATCATCGGGTGCCTACCTACCTCCGTCGTGCAATAGAGGCATACCTGATGGACAGGTCCGTCATTTACCCCGGTCACCAGGGTGAGTGGAACCGGCGAGAGATGTCACGCGATGTTCCACAGGGTTCGGTTCTGGGGCCGCTCCTGTGGAACATCGGCTATGACTGGGTGCTGCGCACCGACCTCCCGAACGGCGTTAGCATCATATGCTACGCCGACGACACGCTGGTGCTAGCGCACAGGAGGTCGCACCAGGCGGCGGCCGATTTAATGGCGACAGCGGTTGCGAGAGTCGTTGAAAGAATCCGGCAGTTGAGACTTTAGGTGGCGCTCCATAAGTCCGAGGCCATGCTTTCATGACCGCGGGAACGCGCCACCTCCGGGTGCGTCCCAAATAACGGCAGGAGGGGTTACCATCGGTGTCGAGACGAAGATGAAGTACCTGGGACTCGTCCTCGACAGTCGGTGGAAATTCGTGGATCACTTAGACGCCGGGGTCGTGCGGTCCATGCTAACGGCGCCCCTGTGCGGGCACCGAACCTGATGTGGCGGCCCGCTCGGGCGCTGCTCATGTCACAGAGGGTCATGGCAATCCGAATGATCCGCGGATACCGCACGATCTCCGGGGAGGCGGCGAACCTTCTTGCCGGATTACCATCGTGGGATCTGGAGGCGAAGGTGCTCGCGCGCGTGTATCGCATGCACGCGGAGACAAGTCGCCGGGGTGAAACTGCACTGCCGCGCCAGATAAGTGCGTGATAGGAGGAGCTCTGGCGCGATCTCATGGCGAAATGGCAGTAACGACTGTCGCAACCGAAGGCTGGACTCGCTGCCATTGCAGCGGTACGTCCCCTCTTTGAGGAGTGGCTTGAGAGACGCTACGGCGTCCTCACCTACCGCCTGACGCAGGTCCTCACCGGACATGGAAGTTTCGGGAGGTACCTGTGTCCGATGGGGCGGGAGGAAACGCCCGAGTATAATCACTGCGAGGACCGCCCTGAGGACACGGTGAAACACACTGTGGTGGAATGCCCTGCGTAGGCTGAGCACTGCCGTGCCCTCAGGGAAGTGATCGGCGATGGCGACCTGTCGCGTCCGGGCCTAGTGCAGGTCATGATGCGGAGCGAGGGGGACTGGGATGCCGTCTCCTCCTTTTGCGAAACAGTTATGCTAGCTAAGAAGCAGGCGGGACGCGTGAGGCAGCAAAGCGCTATCTCCTCGCAACCCAGCCATCGCGAAGGACACACCGGGCGTCGGGGATCGCGGGACGATCTCCGACCACCGTAAGCGCAGGCCTGCGGACGGCTAGCATAGGTGGCTCCCCGTTCGACCAGAAACAGACCCGAGCCAACAGCCATCAGACCACCACAGATGGGGCCCAATAGGGCCGATGCCGATTCGGAGTCGCGGAGAACCTAACGGGTTACCGGACCGGGGCTTCGGCTCGACGTGCAGGAGAAGGAACTGGGTGGTTTTTAGTCAGTAAGAGTCTGACACTCCCTCCCGTCTCACCCAGGCGGGAGCAGTCATTCGATGATTTTCCCCCTTAAAAAAAATCTAACCTCAGCTTAACGATAATTCTGTTTTTGTGTCCTTGAATAAAGTAAATATAAGGTAAACACATAGACAGGGATATATATAAATACGACGTCATTGCACATTTGTTTGAAAGAGAAAATATTTAGAAAGTTCATTTTAAAAAGAATCAAGTTTTGATTCTTATTAAACTCACAACACATTAATAGGTCGACAGCTAACTGGCACATTTCGATCATTTTATACACAGCTAGCTATCATAATGAGTCTCAAAAAAATTCTTTTTGAAAATGAATCTGTGGAGTAAGTTTTTTTGTTTATAAACGTACTTTCATAAATAGTTACTAGTTTATTTCCTTAAAGTTAAGGACCAGCTGAAAAATAAAGAAATAATATATCGTCAATTGTTATGGCTTGATGGTTTAAGTCTATTGTTTTATAATGTGTTTTTTGTTTCTATTTGTCCTATCCTATGTGACTAATCTTCACTTTGTAGATAATTTATATAAAATAGTTAATACAAGTTTAGCTTCTAGCCATTTTCTTTAACTCGTCGAGTACCGGTTTTATAGACACAATTAAAGAACAATAGGTTGCGGTCACCGGTGACCGCTTGGTGTTTGACCGCTTAATTAGCCATGGTGGTACCACTGCAGGGCCTCCTTCCATTCGTCTCTTCGTAGAGTTTTCTGTGACCAATCCTTTTCATAAGCAACGAATTTGTAGGGAACAAAGAGTATAGTCCCCTAAGATCGAAAAAGGAGGATCCTCCGACCAGGCGAGGTGATCGTGCCTGGCGGGCTTTCTGCCCAACAGTTGTTCGTTGGGATTTTCTATCCGTGTTTATTCGCTTGTAAACTTTACATGTGCGATGTAGGTTTCTTGTGACGTCATCCGTTGACATGTGGCATGCGTCGCCACACTACTCCCAAGACGGAGGTCGATCCCGCTGAGACGGCTGTCGATGCTGGAGATGAGCGGTGCCAGAACCAGTATAGAAAGTCCCTAGTTCCAGTGAGTCGGAACTGTGCCGCTGATTGCCCAGTGAGTCGGGTGAGCGGTGCAGGGCGATACTCCACTGAGTCGGAGAGATGAGTTCGCAGTGTCCCACGGTGAGTCGGGGAAGAGATGCTGCGAGGGTAGGTGCGTAGTGGCTGGCGTCTGCGTTGACGGGAGGAGATACTTCAGAACCGTGTGCAGAAGTGCTGTGCCTAGACGCTGGTGAGGCCGTAGGGAAAAACCAGGCTGCACGACTTCGTTGCAGGCGATGGTGGTCCCTGATGAGGCCGAGGATGCTGGTTGGCTGCGAGTTGACTACCGCTCAGCGGAGAAGTGATGAATGAGAGGGATGGCGATACGGATGACGGTGCTGATCTGCTCCGTGAAGTGAAGGTTGCTTCCAATCACGTCGGGGTCACCACTGTAGGGAACAGAGAGTATAGTCCCCTAAGATCGGAAAAGGAGGATCCTCCGACCAGGCGAGGTGATCGTGCCTGGCGGGCTTTCTGCCCAACAGTTGTTCGTTGGGATTTTCTATCCGTGTTTATTCGCTTGTAAACTTTGCATGTGCGATGTAGGATTCTTGTGACGTCATCCGTTGACATGTGGCATGTGTCGCCACAAATTCATCCCGACGTTTCCTTCTGGGCCTGCCGCGACGTCTATTGACTTTAAGCAGACTTCACTTAGTATTACATTTACATTTACACTTAGATTTGCCCACAGCTCTTCCGACATGCGGCAGACGTGACTAGCTCAGTTCCACTTTAGGCTTACGACTTTCTGACTAACGTCAGCGATTTGAGTTCTGGAGTGCAGTGGAACCATTAGATACTTAATTCTAATACTTGTCTAACTGTTTACACTTAATATTTTTTTAGTGGCATCAATTCTCCATCCCAATACATGTACATAAAAATAGTGCGGTTCATGTTAGTGATCGTTGGCTCCTGGCCTAGGAGAGAGATCGGGGAGCCAGAACCACGATACCAGACAATTATGCTCAAATTATTCTTCTTCTCTGTGGTCAATGCTGCTTTATGCGGGTCCATATCCTACGTATATGTGCATACAAGTGAATTATCTTTTTTGGAAATTGGACACATGTATATCGTCATTCTAATGACTGCTAATGATATGGTAAGTAATGTTGTATAAAGTTTTCATCGGTTAAGTTATAATTACAAGTTTTTTAGTTTTCTAAATGGTTTGGAAATGTACCCGGTAGATGGCAAAAGGATCATAAACTTTTATACTATTTTACTATATATATTTATAACTATTATACATAAGTAATTCATAACATAACCGATGACAAGTCTGTGGCAGTTGTACCATACATCTTTAACCACCTTTTATTAAAAGTCACCATTTTAAGAAATGACACGTTTCATAAATATTGTTTACAGTCCAGAGTATTTACTCTAACATTATCCCAAAAGTACCGAGATTTGGCTAAGGAATTCCTTACCAAGATACATCTGTTCTACTTCAAAGATCATTCTCCTTATGCGATGCTGGTAAGTTCGGACGGCATATATTTATTAATTTAATGATACATAACTATGTACTATACCTAATATTAATGTTAATGATTAGTACAATTTTAATGTTATCAAAATAAACTTTTTAAGTATAAAGATACAGAAATTAAGTAATCATACACATTTTTCAGAATAATATAATGTTCAACACACCCTACGCAGCAGCGACATTCACTTCATTGTTGAGCGACATATAATGAGACTTTGTGACATACTCCACGACTGAATCACTGTTTTCCAAAATACAAGCTTATAGCTTACCTATAGTATCATTCGTAATTCACACTCGTCCATGTAATTGCGGTATTTCTTTAAATGCAATAATTATTGTGATTTTTTTGTGATAATAAACAATTTTTTTTGACTTCTTCTTCTTCTTGGGCAAGTAACAATAAATTATTATTTTTGTTTCAGACTCACAAGAAAGTCCACCTTGTCTGTCATCTGGTCTCTCTCTGCTTACTCTCCCAGATGTTAACTGGTCTTACTTTATTCAACCTCATACCCATGTACACGAACTACTCCTCAGGAAGATACGCTAGTGGTGGCACCAGAACTCAACGTTTGAGCACTCTATGTATTTCTCCTACCCTTTTAACACTTCTACGGATTTTAATGGATATGTCGTTGCTTGTATTTTCCATTGGTAAGTTTGACTATTTCTATCATCATCATCATCATCATCATTATTAATATCGATAGTCGATAAGCAACCACCGCTAACCAAAGGCCTTCTCTCGCACAGAGAAGGCTCAATTTTTATCATACTAACATTTTTTTAATGGTCAAGCCGGTAGGTAAACGAGCCTACGGATTACCTGATGGTAAACAATCGGCAACGCCCATGGACACCCGAAACACCAGGGGCGTTACAAGTGCATTACCGGCCTTTTGGGGCTTAGGAATTTAAGGCGGTCATCGACCCGGGAATAATGATGGCACTGCAGTACTTATTAGAGGCCTCAGACCACACAGGAAACTGTGTCATAATTACTCTCTAAAAATGATGGCACAATCCAAAAACTATATTTGAAACCTTTGCTCCGATTCAAGGGTGACGTTTGTAGTATTCCTGACGTTGAACTTTAATCCTCTTAAAATATCTATCGAAGTCATTTTATGTATTTTGAAGTAAACCTTCAAAGTCAATTCCTAAATTTAAATTAAACCATTTATAATCAATTTTCATTTTAATTGCAGGTTATTGTCATATTTCTGCTCAACACAGTTCGTTATGTTTGACCTGTTCCTATCAATAATGGTTTTTCATCTTTGGGGCCATTTCAAAATACTAATCAACAGCCTGAATAACTTCCCTAAGCCTAGTGTTGAAACTCACTTTGAATTAGAAGGAGGCATTAATATAAACGCTGAGAAATATTCAAAAGAAGAACTCATTAAAGTTTCTCAGAAACTGAAAGAATGTATTGATTATCACCGAGAGATAATTCAGTAAGTCTAAACAACTTTCAGTTTTTTATTTGATGAGAGCGTCTGGGATCGAGATAATTGTTAACATTTGAATGTGACATCGGTTTTTATGAAAGAAAAAGTAAATCACCAAAAACGAGTATGTTGTCATTTAGGTAATTTTGTGATTAGTTAATGCTGATGTAATGTATTTTTTTTCGAGTATTTTTTTACAGCTCATTTGCTAAATCGACTTATACCTAGTCCTTTGCTATCTAATTCCTTTTTAACTTGACACTACCTACTCGACTTCATTGAATTTCAGTTATTTAGAGTATGGTTGGTAATGTTCAACTAGAAGTGAAACTATATTATTTAAACTTGTCATCAATCACGAAAACAACATGATATTCTTTTACAGATTTAAAAAAGCCATGTCAGATGTATTCGGGCCGATGTTGTTCTGCTATTATGTATTCCACCAGACAAGCGGCTGTTTACTATTGCTGGAGTGTTCGCAAATGGTCAGTCGATACCAATAATATTATTATTTGCCTCGTTATTATAATGCCTCGTTATTATAATGCCTCGTTGGCCGAGTGGTCGCAAGTGCGGCTAGGTGTCTCTGGTTCGATTGCAGGGTCAGGCAAAGTACTGCTGGGGTAAAAAAAATCAGTAGTAGCACGGAGTCTGGAATTGTGCATATACCGGATGCCAATAGGCTCACCCCCTATTACATATGACTTACAACATAAATAGTGAAAAGTGGGTGTTACATTGCACATTGGCTTAAGTGTCGTAATATGCACCTCTGCCTATGCCTCGGGGGTAAAAGACGTGATAACGAACTTCTTAAAATTACATCTTTTTCCATTTCTGTTCCAGACTGCGCAAGCTCTAATCCGTTTCCTGCCACTGACGATAATACTGACTCAGCAATTAATTCAATTGTCAATCATTTTTGAACTGGTCGGCAGTGAGGTAATTGTCAATTTATGCATGTGAGAAAAGAGATTTACGATTTAACTGAGGGCAACACTAGAATCTTTAGTGGCACCACGACCGTCCGTCGGTTGAGATAACTTTGTGAAAACGGTTGACTTTTGTCGCACTGTCCATTTTAATAATAGGGTAGATGCCTAATTTTTATTTTAATGTCCGTCTAGTAGATTATTTAAAATCATTAGACACGTATTTTTCATTTTTTTTTACAGAAACGAATACTTTCGACTACATATTAATTTATAATGTCGCGTGACGTCACTTCTATGCTCATTTTATACGTAGAAATGACGATTTAGCCTCCACTCCTAAACTTTGATTCGTGTTATCAAAGTATTGTTTTATTATATGACAAAAAAAATACGTGTCTAATATTTTTTCATTATCTAACTTACGGACTAATTAGATTTTTAATTTTCATACCCTGTCATCATCCTAATTGAATTGATTTGACTGTTTAGTCCGTTGGTTATTTGAGCTAGACTTAGCAATGTCTCCTTTGTAAAGATTCTCAATACTTTTATTTTTATACATGAAATAGCTTCTCAAATTCTCTCTACTTCATTGTGCTCGCTTACTTCACGAGAAGAAACCACCTTATTGCAACTTCTCGGATAATTCCTTTTCTGGGTATTCTTGTCTGTGTCTATTTATTTTCATTGAAAAATCTATGTTCATTTTAGTATATATTATCGTTTACAGAGTGAGAAATTAAAAGACGCCGTGTATGGTGTACCATGGGAATGCATGGATGTTAGTAATAGGAAGGTGGTTGCATTCTTTCTTATGAATGTTCAGGAGCCTGTTCATATTAAGGCTCTGGGTGTTGCTAATGTTGGAGTCACTTCTATGGCCGCGGTGAGTTTGAAGATTTCTATCTTCTTTTGACTGTCTTCTTACTTGATGAGGGTACAAAGATTCTTGGACAAGCCTATATTATGTATACAGATAAATAAAATTGTAGTGTCTGTTAGAAGTTGTGTCCTAAACTTCCTATTCTATGTGTTCGAAGTCGCGGGCAACAGCTAGTTATAACATAAAAACTTATTAACTAAAGTAAAACTTTGATAGAGATGCATGTACTACTATTTAACCAATACGACAGCTAGTGGTATGAGTGTAGGTGAGAGACGGTTGGGTAGAAATGAGACATGTAGAAACAATTAAATAAATAATTAAAATGTGATTTGTGTTTTTCTTCCTGTGTTTCAGATCCTGAAGACTTCATTGTCCTACTTCGCCTTCTTACGAAGCATGTGAACATTTAAATACTTTATATGTACAGGTCGCTATTATGTATTTCTTTGCTAACATTTCCTGTGGTTGCTTTCTACTATTTATTAGTTCAATTTTTTCTCAATTTGTGTAACTTATTAAAGCTAAACAAAGACACAATTTGTTTTATTTGATTTTAATAAAATTGCCGCGGAGAACCTAACAGGTTACCGGGGCTCCGGCTCGATGTGCAGGAGAAGGAACGGGGTGGATTTTAGTCAGTAAGAGTCTGACACTCAATCCCGCCTCACCCAGGCGGGAGCAGTCATTCGATGATTTTCCCCCATTAAAAAAACGTAATAAAATTACCTAAACAAAATTGATTTACATTGCAAAAAATAAAATGCGATTGTTGGTAAATTCGACAAAAAAAGATTGAAGAAAATGTTATTTATGCAATGCTCAGATTCATAAAGATGATGTCATTTTTGTCAGTCAATTAGATTAATGGAAACAAGTATTGCTTACACACTTTTGACGTGCATTTGTTTTTTTTATACATATTTGCCATGATTAATTGTTTTTAAATGCTGAATGCCGTGCGATTGCCTCAATTAAGATTTTTTGTGACACACAATTCGTTTAAAGCCTAGGTTTTATATCTCATTACCATTAAACATTTACCGCAACGAAGTTATTTTTAACCTTCGAACAATCACTGTTCAAAGAAAATCGTCCGTTCATTCAATTTGTTCAATATCTCCGATATCATCGCAACCAATTCACGAAAATCTAATCAAAAGTGTTAATCTTAATTTATTGCTCTTTGGTAAGTGATTGATTTTGAACACTATTTTTGCAGAAATACCTATAAAAACAACCAAGCTGAAAGGTAGACAGAGGTGCCGAATAAAAATCATCGGACGCTTAACAAGAACCATTAACAGTACCTAATGTACTTCTAAGGCGATACAACTGAAATTAATACAAAAATTAAAATAACGTCAGTACAATAGTTCGTACACTAACACTGTGTACGTTCACAAAATGACCTTCACTGTTATCCTTCAATACATGGAACTGTAGATTTCCCAAATCAATCTCATCTAGACTGTTTGTTTTACGAGGTATGGAATACTTTGGTTTTATAATGCTGGGCAGATGCACAGCTGGTGAGCTTTGAAATGCAACTTATCCTGTTTGAAGACGACGTTGCCTTAATGTGACCGTTCCAAGTCTTACCTCACAAGCATTGTTAAGTGTGATAATGTATATGCCCATGATGTCGTGCCGACTCATGTCATAGTCGCAAATTTCCTTTAGGAATGTAGGCAAGCCTGCGAAAATAATCCAAGAATCTGGACGTATGGATTTTATTTTAATTTCAGATAAATGGGGTAGACGACTAATTTTTATTTTAATGTCCGTCTGATAGATTATTTAAAAACATTAGACACGTATTTTTTATTTTCTCACAGAAACGAATAGTTTCGAAGATATATTGATTTGAAATGTCGCGTGACGTCACTTCTCAGTACATTTTATACTAAGGAATGACGTTTTAGCCCCCATTCCTAAACTTTGATTCGTTTTATCTAAGTATTGTTTTATTATACGACAAAATAAAAAAATACGTGTCTAATATTTTTTCATTACCTAACTTACGGACTAATTATATTTTTAATTTTCATACCCTGTCATCATCCCCATTGATAGGAACATGTAGGCACGATGTCAATTCGGCAGAAAACGTCATCAAGTCTTTTACGCATTCATTTTCTTCATTTGAAGACACATGCTCTCATCACAAAAGAATTTTCCTTCATCTATCTTTCTGCAAGGCTGGGATGGTGGTACTATTTTTGACCCTTTCGCGAAGATATGAGAATGTTTGGGGCTAATTAAAAAGGATAGATAGAAAGATACTGTTACACTGACAAAATAAAAGTTATTTTTGTGCCCTTAATATAAGCTTTGATGTCGATACAGTCGCGTTCCGCACGCGCCTCAATGAGCCATCAGATTACCACAGATGGGGCCCAATAAGGCTGATGCTGATACGGAGCCGCGGAGGACTTAACGGGTTGCCGGGGTACTGTTGTAAAAGAATTCATTTTTGAAGTAAAAAAAAATCTGTTTGTATATTAATCTTCGGAACTAGCGAAAGGACTAGAATGAAACTATATTTAGCTAATTTACCGGGGCAACATACTTATATTAGGGATTTTTGAGATTGTTAATAGGGTTTAAATAATAGGCTACTTTTATCAAGGAAAAATTTGATATTCCTGATGGAAAACAAAAATATTGGTATAGATGGCGCTGCGTGTATTAGAATACATGGCGCTATTATGTCTGTTAACCTGTTAACATTAAATGTTAACAAAACTCATTTTATGGCCTTCTCCATTCGTAAAAATACAGCCCCACCACGTGACTTCTCCATCAAAGCTCACATTTGTCACTCTCGACAGACTGACTGTGCCTGCGAGGTAATAACTAGGGCAGAAAGCGTCAAATACTTGGGCGTTAACTTGAATGATCGACTGAGATGGGATAAACAGATAGACACTGTAACCTCCAGAGTGAGAAGGCTAATACACGTATTTAAACATCTAAGAAATTCTGCCCCACCAGATAAATTAAAATTCGTCTATTTGGCTCTGTGTCAGTCCATTATCCAATATTGCATACCAGTTTGGGGAGGGGCAGCCAAAACGCTTTTTCTTATGCTTGAGAGAGCACAAAGAGCTGTACTGAAAGTGATGACCAAAAAACCATATAGATATCCCACTGCAAAATTGTACTCTGAATGTAAGGTATTAACAGTCAGACAGCTCTTTGTGCTCAAATCTACTTTGAGAAGGCATCGAAATGTCCCACTACCGAATCCAAACAGACGCAGTAAGATGCCAGTATGCCCGCAAATCCCTACCAATACTACTTTTGCCAGAGGACAGTTCAATAGTCTCAGTTGCAAGCTCTACAACATAATTAATAAAAACCTGAACATCGTACGACTCAGCCGAAAAGAAGTCACAAGAAAAATCAGTGATTGGCTTCAGCAAATGGATTACAACGAAACTGAAGGTTTACTTGCGTATATATCATAACCGACACACACATACATACACACACAAACACACACACACATACACACACACACACACACACACGCGCACACACCCTCACACACACACACAAAATTCCGGTATATTAACCTAAGTAGTCCTTTTAACTTTCCCTTTATATTTTATTATTTTTGATTTTGGATTACAGCTCCTTCCATTTCATTCATTCACTTTCATGACATTCACTTCATTATAGAGTAACATATAATGCGACTTCGTGACATACTCTAGGCCTGAATCACTGTTTTCCAAAATACAAGCTTATAGCTTAGTTTGGAAAGCAGTGTCAGTATCGATCGTAATTCACACTCGTTCATGTAATTGCCGCATTTCTGTGAATGTATTATTGTGAAATTTTTGTACAATAAACAAATTTTTATTTTTTTTATTTTTATTTTTATGTCATTTAAAACAAGTCAACGTTAACAAGTCAATCTTTAGCGTTACCTACACTTATTCGGTGCACTTTTCGACTCATTTATTTGCTGTGTTTTTAAGTCAACGAATTACAAATTGGTACCTATGTAGTAGTTGCGCTACTTAGCAAAAGATGGCGCTGCGTGTATTCAAAACTTGGTAACGTTGTGTGTTTTTGGGCTCGCTGCCATCGCAGCGGTAAGTCCCCTCTTTGAGGAGTGGCTTGAGAGACGCTACGGCGTCCTCACCTACCGCCTGACGCAGGTCCTCACCGGACATGGCAGTTTCGGGAGGTACCTGTGTCTGATGGGGCGGGAGGAAACGCCCGGGTGTCATCACTGCGAGGACCGCCCTGAGGACACGGTGGAACACACGGTGGGAGAATGCCCTTCGTGGGCTGAGCACCGCCGTGTCCTCAGGGAAGTGATCGGCGATGGCGACCTCTCGCGTCCGGGCCTAGTGCAGGCCATGATGCGGAGCGAGGGGGATTGGGATGCCGTCTCCTCCTTTTGCGAAGCAGTCATGCTAGCTAAGGAGGAGGCGGGACGCGTGAGGCAGCGAAGCGCTGCCTCCTCGCAACCCAGCCATCGCGAAGGACACACCGGGCGTCGGGGATCGCGGGACGATCTCCGGCCACCGTAAGCGCGGGCCTGCGGACGGCGAGCATGGGTGGCTCCCCGTCCGACCAGAAACAGACCCGAGCGTACGGCGCGTCGCGTTCCGCGCGCGCCTCAGAGAGCCATCAGACCACCACAGATGGGGCCCAATAGGGCCGATGCCGATTCGGAGTCGCGGAGAACCTAACGGGTAACCGGGGCTCCGGCTCGACGTGCAGGAGAAGGAACGGGGTGGTTTTTAGTCAGTAAGAGTCTGACACTCCCTCCCGCCTCACCCAGGCGGGGGCAGTCATTCGATGATTTTCCCCCCTTAAAAAAAAAAAAAAAAAAAAAAAACGTTGTGTTTTCAAGTATTTTTCGCTTTTAAATTTTGGTTTCTACAATTTTACATTAAATTGTGTATTTTATAGATTTTAGGTTGTTAAAGGTAACCTATACGGTGCACTTTTCTACTCATTTATTTGCTATTTTATAAGTCAACGAATTACTAATTGTTATCTATGTAGTAGGTACGCTACTTAGCGAAAGATGGCGCACGGTGTTTTAAAAACTTGGTAACGTGTTTTTTAAGTACTTTTCGCTTTTAAATTTTGGTTTCTGCCATTTTTACATTTAAATTGTGTATTTTACAAATTTTAGGTTGTTCAAGGTACCTATTCGATGCACTTTTCGACTCATTTATTTGCTGTTTTATACATAAGTCAACGAATTACTAATTGGTATCTATGTAGTAGTTACGCTACTTAGCGATAGATGGCGCTGCGTGTTTTAAAACTTGGTAACGTTGTTTTTCAAGGGTTTCTACCATTTTATATTTAAATTGTGTATATTTTAGATTTTAGGTTGTTCAAGGTACCAATTCGGTGCACTTTTCGACTCATTTATTTGCTGTTTTATAAGGCAACGAATTACTAATTGGTATCTATGTAGTAGTTACGCTACTTACCGAAAGATGGCGCTGCGTGTTTTAAAAACTTGGTAACGTGTTTTTAAGTACTTTTCGGTTTTAAATTTTGGTTTATACCATTTACGTTTTAAGTTGTGTATTTTATAAATTTTAGGTTGTTCAAGGTACCTATTCGATGCACTTTTCAACTCATTTATTTGCTGTTTTATACATAAGTCAACGAATTACTAATTGATATCTATGTAGCAGTTACGCTACTTAGCGATAGATGGCGCTGCGTGTTTGAAAAACTTGGTAAAGTTGTGTTTTTAAATAATTCCTACCATTTTACATTTAAATTGTGTATTTTATAGATTTTAGGTTGTTAAAGGTACCTATTCGGTGCACTTTTCGACTCATTTATTTGCTGTTTTATAATTCAACGAATTACTAATTGGTATCTATGTAGTAGTTACGCTACTTAGCGATAGATGGCTCTGCGTGTATTAATAACTTGGTAACGTTTTGTTTTTCAAGTATTTTTCGGTTATTTTTTATAGATTTTAGGTAGTTAGAAGGTACCTACACGAAATCATAGCGTCAACAATACTCAACAATTAGCAAATAAATTGTACGCTGTTGTTTCACTTACCTTTGCTATGGTTTCGTTACCGACGAAAGTATAGGTTCCGAACTTCCAAAACGATTATGTTTTGGTGTAAGAATCTAGCACCGTGATTGAATTTTTTCGCTCGTTCAATAATAGGTTTGATTGGTATATTCTAGGTATATTTTATTATCTATAGTAATCCAATTGCTTACACTGAGTGGGTAACCCATTTAGCATGGGCATATTGTTAGCATGTTTCTTTTCTGATTTTATTAGTATCTTTTATTGTCATTGTGGTATTTATGCTGCATCGTGCCTGGTGCTGAATAAATGTTTTTCTTTCTTGATAGTTTTAAACCAGATTAAAGACCTATGATAGTTTTTATCTCAAAAATCTCACGGAATGGAAACTATGCATTAAAATCCTGCGACTCTTTAATCACTAAACCTATTTGATTGAAATTCTGTAAAACGATAGTTTGAGACCCAGGAAAGAACGTTTAACCGCTTGAATGCCCGTATATGAGACACAATAGCAAATACATTGTGTCTCGCGTGGATCCACGTTTAACACATGACGGGTTAAGAGTTGTCAACCCAGAAATCCTAGGTAAGAAACCTAGGTATTGTAGGCTTAAAACTCATTGTGTGTCACAAAAAGTCTTAATTGAGGCAATCGTAGGGCATCCAGCATTTAAAAACAACTAATCATGGCAACTACGTATCAATAAAAATCAAATAGGTACACTTCAAAAGTGTGTAAGCAATACTTGTTTTCATTAGTCTAATTGACTGACAAAAATTACATCATCTCTATGAAGCTGTGCATTGCACAATAATAACATTTTCTTCAATCTGTTTTTGTCGAAATTTTCAACAAATACATTTTATTTTTTGCAATGTAAATCAATTTTGTTAAGATAATTTTATTACGTATATTTTTTTTAATGGGGGCAAAATTATCGAATGACTGCTCCCGCCTGGGTGGGGCAGGAGGGAGTGTTAGACTCTTACTGACTAAAAACCACCCCGTTCCTTCTCCTGAACGTCGAGCCGGAGGCCCGGTAACCTGTTAGGTTCTCCGCGACAATTTTATTATGTTTAGTTTTATTAAAATCAAATAAAACAAATTGTGTCTTTGTTTAGCTTTAATAGGTTAATTAAATTGAGAAAAAATGTACTAATAAATAGTAGAAAGCAACCACAGGAAATGTTAGCAAAGAAATACATAATAGCGACCTGTACATACAAAGTATTTAAATGTTCACATGCTTCGTAAGAAGGTGAAGTAGGACAATGAAGTCTTCAGGATCTGAAACACAGGAAGAAAAACACAAATCACATTTTAATTCTGTATTTAATTGTTTCTACATGTCTCATTTCTACCCAACCGTCTCTCACCTACACTCATACCACTAGCTGTCGTATTGGTTAAATAGTAGTACATGCATCTCTATCAAAGATTTACTTTAGTTAATAAGTTTTTATGTTATAACTAGCTGTTGCCCGCGACTTCGAACATATAGAATAGGAATTTTAGGACACAACTTCTAACAGACACTACAATTTTATTTATCTGTATACATAATATAGGCTTGTCCAAGAATCTTTGTACCCTCATCAAGTAAGAAGACAGTCAAAAGAAGATAGAAATCTTCAAACTCACCGCAGCCATAGAAGTGACTCCAACATTAGCAACACCCAGAGCCTTAATATGAACAGGCTCCTGAACATTCATGAGAAAGAATGCAACCACCTTCCTATTACTAACATCCATGCATTCCCATGGTACACCATACACGGCGTCTTTTAATTTCTCACTCTGTAAACGATAATATATACTAAAATGAACATAGATTTTTCAATGAAAATAAATAGACACAGACAAGAATACCCAGAAAAGGAATTATCCGAGAAGTTGCAATAAGGTGGTTTCTTCTCGTGAAGTAAGCGAGTACAATGAAGTAGAGAGAATTTGAGAAGCTATTTCATGTATAAAAAGAAAAGTATTGAGAATCTTTACAAAGGAGACATTGCTAAGTCTAGCTCAGATAACCAACGGACTAAACAGTCAAATCAATTCAATTAGGATGATGACAGGGTATGAAAATCAAAAATCTAATTAGTCCGTAAATTAGATAATGAAAAATATTATATATATATTTTTTTTTAATTTATTTATAATATATTTAAGTTTAGGAGTGGACTTAAACTTTGAATCGTGTTATTTAAGTATTGTTTAATCGTCTAAATGATAATCGGCTAAATCGTCATTTCTACGTATAAAATGAGCATAGAAGTGACGTCACGCGACATTTCAAATCAATATGTAGTTGGAAGTATTCGTTTCTGTAAAAAATGAAAAATACGTGTCTAATGATTTTAAATAATCTACTAGACGGACATTAAAATAAAAAATAGGCATCTACCCTATTATTAAAATGGACAGTGCGGCAAAAGTCAACCGTTTTCACAAAGTCATCTCAACCGACGGACGGTCGTGGCATAGTATAAAGAACACAGTAGGTTATCTAAGGCCGCCCGCCGAGTTATTAGCCTACTCTTGCGTTGATCCCCAGGGTTGTCACTTTTACTTTTAGTTAATATTTTCGAACAAGCAGCACTTGATCTAAATGTATGAAATGAAAAGCATATTATGATTGAATATTTTATCAATTTATAAATTTAGTAAAAATTAAAAGCTTATAAAAAGATTATTAACTTCTTAAAATAAACTTTAGCTCTATACATAGTATTCAGAAAGTAAATTTGGGAATACATTTATATGGAAAAATGCGACTCGGCTACGCTCTTAACAAATCAGATAAACTGTGAAATAAACAATACAATACCACATTTTTTTATAATATTTAAGTATAGTAGGTAATTACATTTCTGGTTGAGTAGGAACTAAGAAGAATGATAAGAGTAAGAATAAGTAAGTAGGTATCTCATCATCAAGTACCTACAAATTATATTATGCTAGAAAAAGTGACTAGCTTACCTTTCCTGTTCAATAGGTACCTAATCTCAACAGAGACAGTTCTGGAATCGATTAATTATTAAGACACCCAAACACACAGCAATACGTTCTTCTACGATTATCAGACATTTTTTATTTCATTGAACAGTGCCGAAAAGCCGTGAAGCGCGCGCGAACCTCGTACAGTGTCAGCCCTGCCTGGCGCACTGAGAAACGGGTCGAGATTTTGTTAAAGTGTGCGTGCGTCGACGCATAGATACTATGGCGCACACATATAAGCCGCGCGCGGAGCATTTGTATGAAGATAACCTACTTTGTTCTTTATACTATGGTCGTGGTGCCACTAAAGATTCTAGTGTTGCCCTCAGTTAAATCGTAAATCTCTTTTGTCACATACATAAATTGACAATTACCTCACTGCCGACCAGTTCAAAAATAATTGACAATTGAATCAATTGCTGAGTCAGTATTATCGTCAGTGGCAGGAAACGGATTAGAGCTTGCGCAGTCTGGAACAGAAATGGAAAAAGATGTAATTTTAAGAAATTCGTTATCATGTCTTTTACCCCCGAGGGGTAGGCAGAGTTGCATATTACGACACTTAATGCCAATGTCCAATATAACACCCACTTTTTACTATGTATGTTATAAGTCACATGTAATAGGGGGTGAGCCTATTGGCATCCGGTCCGGTATATGCACAATTCCAGACTCCGTGCTACTACTGATTTTTTTTAAATACCCCAGCAGTACTTTGCCTGACCCTGGAATCGAACCCGAGACGCCTTTTTTTAAGGGGGGAAAGTCATCGAATGACTGCTCCCGCCTGGGTGAGGCGGAAGGGAGTGTCAGACTCTTACTGACTAAAAACTACCCCGTTCCTTCTCCTGCACGTCGAGCTGGAGCCCCGGTTACCCGTTAGGTCCTCCGCGACTCCGGATCGGCATCGGCCCTATTGGGCCCCATCTGTGGTGGTCTAATGGCTCTTTGGCCGTACGCTCGGGTATGTTTCTGGTCGGACGGGGAACCACCCATGCTCGCCGTCCGCAGTCCCGCGCTTACGGTGGCCGGAGATCGTCCCGCGATCCCCGACGCCCGGTGTGTCCTTCGCGATGGCTGGGTTGCGAGGAGGCAGCGCTTCGCTGCCTCACGCGTCCCGCCTCCTCCTTAGCTAGCATGACTGCTTCGCAAAAGGAGGAGACGGCATCCCAGTCCCCCTCGCTCCGCATCATGGCCTGCACTAGGCCCGGACGCGAGAGGTCGCCATCGCCGATCACTTCCCTGAGGGCACGGTGGTGCTCAGCCCACGCAGGGCATTCTCCCACTGTGTGTTCCACCGTGTCCTCAGGGCGGTCCTCGCAGTGATGACACCCGGGCGTTTCCTCCCGCCCCATCAGACACAGGTACCTCCCGAAACTTCCATGTCCGGTGAGAACCTGCGTCAGGCGGTAGGTGAGGACGCCGTAGCGTCTCTCAAGCCACTCCTCAAAGAGGGGACTTACCGCTGCAATAGCAGCCCTCGGTTGCGACAGTCGTTGCTGCCATTCCGCCATGAGATCGCGCCGGAGCTCATCCCGCCACGCACTTATCTGGCGCGACAGCGGAGTTTCGCCCCGGCGACGTGCCTCCGCGCGCATGTGATACGCGCGCGAGCACCTTCGCCTCCAGATCCCACGGCGGTAATCCGGCAAGGAGGTTCGCCGACTCCCCGGAGATCGTGCGGTATCCGCGGATCATTCGGATCGCCATGACCCTCTGTGACATGAGCAGCGTCCGAGCGGGACGCCGCATCATGTTCGGCGCCCACACAGGGGCGCCGTAGAGGGACATGAACCGCACGACCCCGGCGTCTAACCTCTGGCAGGAGGCGTTTGGCCCCCCGAGGTTGGGGAGGATGCGCTGAAACGCAGCCCTCGCCAACTTTGGAGCCAAAAGTCGGAAGTACTCCACGAAGTTCCACCGACTGTCGGGGACGAGTCCCAGGTACTTCATCGCCATCTCGACGCCGATGGTGGCGCGTTCCCGCGGCCATGAAAACACATGGCTTCGGACTTATGGAGCGCCACCTCGAGTCCCAACTGCCGGATTTTTTCAACGACAGTCGCAACCGCTGTCGCCATTAAATAGGCCGCCGCCTGGTGCGACCTCCCGTGCGCTAGCACCAGCACCCGAGACGCCTAGCCACACTTGCGACCACTCGGCCAACGAGGCATTATAATAACGAGGCATAAAATACAAATAATAATATTATTGGTATTGACTGACCATTTGCGAACACTCCAGCAATAGTAAACAGCCGCTTGTCTGGTGGAATACATAATAGCAGAACAACATCGGCCCGAATACATCTGACATGGCGTTTGTAAATCTGTAAAAGAATATCATCTTGTTTTCGTGATTGATGACAAGTTTAAATAATATAGTTTCACTTCTAGTTGAACATTACCAACCATACTCTAAATAACTGAAATTCAATGAAGTCGAGTAGGTAGTGTCAAGTTAAAAAGTAATTAGATAGCAAAGGACTAGGTATAAGTCGATTTAGCAAATGAGCTGTAAAAAATACTTGAAAAAAATACATTACATCAGCATTAACTAATCACAAAATTACCTAAATGACAACATACTCGTTTTTGGTGATTTACTTTTTCTTTCATAAAAACTGATGTCACATTCAAATGTTAACAATTATCTTGATCCCAGACGCTCTCATCAAATAAAAAACTGAAAGTTGTTTAGACTTACTGAATTATCTCTCGGTGATAATCAATACATTCTTTCAGTTTCTGAGAAACTTTAAACGAGTTCTTTTGAATATTTTCAGGTTTATATTAATGCCTCCTTCTAATACAGTCACAGCTTGAAGTTTTCAGGCCAGGCTTAGGGAAGTTATTCAGGCTATTGATTAGTATTTTAAAATGGCCCCAAAGATGAAAAACCATTATTGATAAGAAGAGGTCAAACATAAAGAACTGTATTGAGCAGAAATATGACAATAACCTGCAATTAAAATACAAATTGATCATAAACGGTTTAATTTCAATTTAGGAATATATTGACTTCGAAGGTTGACTAATGACTTCAATAGATATTCAATTAGAAGTTCAACGCCATGAATACTACCACCGTTATCCTCGACTCGGAGCAAAAGTTTCAAATATAGTTTTAAATCCACCTTTGGATTGTGTCATCATTTTTAGAGCGTAGGTAATTATGGTAACTGTGCCAGTAGTTTCCTGCGTGGTCTGCAATGCACTCATGATGCCTATAATAAGTACTGCGGTGATACCATTATTCCCGGGTCGGTGACCGCCAACAATCCTTCAATTCCCAAATGGTCGGTAACGCACTTGTAACGCCCCTGGTGTTTCGGGTGTCCATGGGCGGCACCGATTGCTTACCATCAGGTAATCCGTAGGCGCGTTCACCTACCGGCTTGACCATTAAAAAAATGTTAGTATGATAAAAATTGAGAGCCTTCTCTGTGCGAGAAAAGGCCTTTGGTCAGCGGTGGTTGCTTATCGACTATCGATATTAATAATGATGATGATGATGATGATGATAGAAATAGTCAAACTTACTAATGGATAATACAGGCAACGACATATCCATTAAAATCAGTAGAAGTGTTAAAAGGGTAGGAGAAATACAGAGATTGTTCGAACGTTGAGTTCTGAGTGCCACCACTAGCGTACCTTCCTGAGGAGTAGTTCGTGTACATGGGTATGAGGTTGAATAAAGAAAGACCAGTTAACATCTGGAAGAGTAAGCAGAGAGAGACCAGATGACAGACAAGGTGGACTTTCTTGTGAGTCTGAAACAAAAATAATAATTTATTGTTAGTTGCCCAAGAAAAAAAAATTGTTTATTATCACAAAAAAATCACAATAATTATTGCATTTAAAGAAATACCGCAATTACATGGACGAGTGTGAATTACGAATGATACTATAGGTAAGCTATAAGCTTGTATTTTGGAAAACAGTGATTCAGTCGTGGAGTATGTCATAAAGTCTCATTATATGTCGCTCAACAATGAAGTGAATGTCGCTGCTGCGTTGGGTGTGTTGAACATTATATTATTCTGAAAAATGTGTATTATTACTTAATTTCTGTAGTGTAACTTATAAAGTTTATTTTGATAACATTAAAATTATACTAATCATTTATATTAGGTATAGTACATAGTTATGTATCATTAAATTAATAAATATATGCCGTCCGAACTTACCAGCATCGCATAAGGAGAATGATCTTTGAAGTAGAACAGATGTATCTTGGTAAGGAATTCTTTAGCCAAATCTCGGTACTTTTGGGATAATGTTAGAGTAAATACTCTGGGCTGTAAAAAAATTTATGAAACGTGTCATTTCTTAAAATGGCGACTTTTAATAAAAGGTTGTTAAAGATGTATGGTACAACTGCCACAGACTTGTCATCGGTTCTGTTATGAATTACTTATGTATAATAAGTTTATGATCCTTTTGCCATCTACCGGGTACAATTCCAGAACATTTGGATAACTAAAAAACTTGTAATTATAACTTAACCGATGAAAACTTTATACAACATTACTTACCATAACATTAGCAGTCATTAGAATGACGATATACATGTGTCCAACTTCCAAAAAAGATAATTCACTTGAATGCATATATACGTAGGATATAGACCCGTATAAAGCAGCATTGACCACAGAGAAGAAGAATAATTTGAGCATAATTGTCTGGTATCGTGGTTCTGGCTCCCCGATCTCTCTCCTAGGCCAGGAGCCAACGATCACTAACATGAACCGCACTATTTTTATGTACATGTATTGGGATGGAGAATTGATGCCACTAAAAAAATATTAAGTGTAAACAGTAAGACAAGTATTAGAATTAAGTATCTAATGGTTCCACTGCACTCCAGAACTCAAATCGCTGACGTTGGTCAGAAAGTCGCAAGCCTAAAGTGGAACTGAGCTAGTCACGTCTGCCGCATGTCGGAAGAGCTGTGGGCAAATCTAAGTGTAAATGTAAATGTAATACTAAGTGAAGTCTGCTCAAAGTCAATAGACGTCGCGGCAGGCCCAGAAGGAGATGGCGGGATGAAGGAGGAGGTCTTTGCCCTGCAATGGGACCACCATGGCTAATTAAAGAAAATAGCTAGGAGCAAAACTTGTATAAATTCAAGGTTAGTCACATAGAATAGGACAAATAGAAATAAAAAAGACATTATTAAACATATACTCCAGCCATAACAATTGACGAAATATTATTTTTTTATTTTTTCAGATGGTCCTTAACTTTAAGGAAATAAACTAGTAACTATTTATGAAAGTACGTTTATAAACAAAAAAACTTACTCCACAGATTCATTTTCAAAAAGAAATTTTTTGAGACTCATTATGATCACTAACTGTGTATGAAATGATCGAAATGTGCCAGTTAGCTGTCGACCTATTACTGTGTTGTGAGTTTAATAAGAATAACGAAAAGAAAAACTTGATTCTTTCTAATAATGAACTTTCTAAATATCTTCTCTTTCAAACGAATGTTCAATGACGTCGTATTTATATATATCCCTGTCTATATGTTTACCTTATATTTACTTTATTCAAGGACACAAAAACAGAATTATCGTTTAAGCTGAGGTTAGATAAGATATAGGTAAACTTTTGATTGAAATGCTCGATGGAAATTCAAATTAAATAATGTATTCAACATACAGTTAAACGTAAAAATGTTTAAGTACAGGACTGATTTCGCTCAAAGAGGTGAACATACCTAGTCCGAAGTAAAGATACTTCTTGACATTTGAAACAAGTAGAAGTATTTACTTCTAAGTTTGAATAGTGCCAATGCCAGTGAGTATAGCCAATTTGTTAAGTGGCGACCACGAACAGACGATTCGCTATCATATGAGACTGTTCGACGCACCGCTCTTTAAAATTTTGTTGGTTTTGTTTAATGCTTTGATATTGTCCTTGAAAATGCCTTAGAAAAAAAACAAACCTTTCGCTACGTGTGGCCGAAATGCGAAAAGGATGAGACTTAGTAGGTCTTAGGAATGAGAAAAAGATCGTGAAGCACGGTTATCTGCTAGCCGAGAACGCGTCGCTCTTTCACTTGCATCTGAAACTTTCACTGGAAGTGACTCACGCTTAAGTTCACAAAGAACACAGACCTCGACGTTGCGGTCTCAAGAGAGCATCTAGGAACGCGAAGTACGGCTGTCAGCTGTTCGAGAGAGTAATGCACTCTCACTACAGACCGAGGCTTTCACCGAGGCTTATGTTCGCAAAGAACTCGGAGCACAGATCTGCGCTCAGAGAGTATCGAGGAACGTGAAGCACGTCTGTTCTCTGACCGAGAACGTCACGCTCTCTCGCGCGAGTCTGAATCTCTCTCACAAAGAGAAGAACGATTACAAATAGCTAGACATAACTATGCAGGCGTAGAAAGAAACAACGAAAGTTATCTTGCATCTGAAAGGGAAAGAATAGATGAACTAAGACGAGCAGAAACAGTAGAACAGCGTCAATCTCGCCCAGTAATTGAACGAGCTCGATGCCATATAAATAGACATACAAAAATAGCGAAACTGATGAGTCCACTGTCCATGGAATATGACGATGTAAATATTTTACTATCTTGGGAAAATAGGTAATAATCAGGGTTTACCTACATATCCATTAAAAATTCGACTCAGACCCTTGTAATCCTACCTTTATAATGTTTTTTATTTGTTTTATTTATTTATCAAACTTTATTGCACAGATACTGTGAAATTGAACCATATCATAACAAACATAATACCATGTGTATATTTCTCATAAAAACATTTAATTAATTTAATTTTCATAGTAAATCATTACTCAAATAACAGAGCAGCTTGCAGTTGTTTTAGAAACATACTTACTTTAATAATTTTATTTTATTTTCTTAGAAATGCCCTTTCATGTTTGCAAAACATGGCTCTATTATCTTATTATGAACTACTTAGGTGATATATTTATTGCGAAATGAACTTTTTTCATGGTTACAAAAATTAACAATCCCACTGATAAATATAACCTAAGTACTGAATCGATTCTGATGGCATTTATTGTCGTATAGCCGTAGAATATAATTTGGCAAAGACTAATTCAAAAACACAATTTCTACCAGAATTCGTTATTTTACGCCGATGAAGTCGCGGGTTCGGTCGGCATAGTGACTTCCACATAAAAGGTGCCGTCGCGAACTTTTATTTAGAACTAATCAAGACAAACAATCTTACAGTTATCTTAGTGTAAATCCCATGGTTTAGGCAGCGTATGCCGATATAGGTCTCGGGAGGCCCGATTTGGCTAACGTTTTGTGTTATATTACGCCCAAAATTACATCAAGTCATTACAAATTATAGCCTATATGTTATTCTAATGCATGACCTTAACTCGTCGAGTACCGGTTTTATAGACACAATTAAAGAACAATAGGTCGCGGTCACCGGTGACCGCTTGGTGTTTGACAGTTTAAGGTTACACTAGTCGATATTTTTTCCATAGAAAGTTCGGGGCGGTATTACTCCACAGTGTGAATTTGTACCTCCAAAATTAAACACGACAACGTTTTATCTTGTAATTACACTTGTCGGTACGGAAACAAAAACAAATAAAAAATAACGATTAAAAAGTTATGAGCCACCAAAGTTTTGTTTTTCATGACAATTTTGACGCAACTTTGGGTGTTAATAAAAAACCGACTTCAAAAAACCAAAAACTAATAACAAACAAAATCTCTAAACTAAAAAGCAAAAAATAACTATTATTAGTACTGATAGGTTACCCACCCACTGATAGGTAAGAAGTCGGTGCCATAAGTTCCATACAAAATTATTCATTAAAACCTTAATAGGTACCTAATTCACAATTTTGTGGACAGATATATCATTATGATATGAGCTTATGGCACCGACTTCTAACCTATCAGTGGGTGGGTAACCTATCAGTACTAATAATAGTTATTTTTTGCTTTTTAGTTTAGAGATTTTGTTTGTTATTAGTTTTTGGTTTTTTGAAGTCGGTTTTTTAAACGCAGTTTTTATTTTATTATTTTATCATTTTCAGTGTAAAGCTACATATACCCGTTTTGTTACTTATAATCTACATAGGTGCAAAGTTCTAATCAATACAAATTATACAAGCCTAAACACAAGGTAGTTACAGTATACCGTTGAGGAGTTCCCTTAACAATTACACTTCTTCATCATCAGACCCTTAATGACAGCCCTACTCTATCTAGGTGTAAAGTCCTCATCAATACAAATTAATCAAGCCCAAACACAAGGTAGTTACTGTATACCGTTGAGGAGTTCCCTCGACTGTCTATCGGCTCCATCATCAGGTCGACTCCAGACCCTTATCAAATTGTAGTGTTTAAAAATCCTAATTGAAAAACATAATAGACGCATCACTCGCCCATATAATTTTCGAAAGTTCCCCTCGGTTTCCCTAGGATCCCATCATCAGATCCTGACTTCATGGAAATGGGACCAACTTGGGAGTATACCCTTTCCAACAAAACAAAAATTTTGCAAATCGCTTCACGCATCTCAGAGTTATGCGCGTACATACATACAAAAAAAAAAAAAAAAAAAAAAGCAACATACCGGCCGAACGTATAACCTCCTCCTTTTTTGAAGTCGGTTAAAAAGTACCACTAATCGTGTAAAATCTCCAAACCGTAGACCGTACCGACACAGCACAATTACCAGAGAGTTCTATAAAATTTATTTCAAACTGATCTAAGCAGTGGTTTTTTCAAAAAACGCTATTTTCTAAAGCACTAAATCGTACTTTTATACGCACTCGTTTTACGATGAATTATCGTGCATTTCATTTGATAAAATTCCCCCGGCAGCGGCGCGGGGCGGAGGAAAGACGCTCACGCGTTTTTGCACAATTTTTTGCACGACAGCGAGTGTCGTGCAAACCATTTGACTATTTTCTATTGTTTTTTGTTTTGGACTCGGTCGACTTAGTCTGCTGCTGTGGCCTACGTGGTTTGTATCGTATGTGTAGACTATTCTTCTTACCCTTATCTTACGACTGGAGCTTTGCGACCGGTGCGGTGGTGTGGTGTCGATAGGTAGGATAGGAGTAGGTTATACCTACACAAGATGCCCTTTATACGATGACACGATCGTACCCTATTTATTAGGTAGGTAGGTACTAAGGTATTATTCGCGGTACGTAAGTTGAACAAAAATATAATTGTTAGTTATCAACGAAGCCACGAGTAAGTACCTACCTACCTATTTAAAAACTTGTAAGTAAACTGTCCGTAGGTATTATAGTGCGAGGTGTACGATACCTACTTATATTATTTATCGTAAAATCGATATACCTATACTAAACAATGTGAATAAATTGCAGTGTCAGTTTGTACCAAATATTAAAATACCTTCCTACATAGATTTTTTCATACTCACACGGCTATTTGCACGATAAGTAGGTAAAAAAAACTACTTATTCCTTTGGACATAGGTACCTACGTAAAACAAACAGAAAGACAGATAGACAGAAAAAACAAATAAATAGTTTTTAAACCCATTTTTAATTTATTTATTTTTGTATTTTTCCTATTTATTTTTCCGTCTGTCTGTCTTTCTATTTGTTCAGGTCAATGTTCAATTCGGCTAGACCGAATTGATATTTTACTAGCAGGTACACTACGTTTACGTACCTACGGTACCTATGCTTTTTTAGCCATCCTTCCTAAATAATATCTAAGTAATAATAATATTCCACAATATCACACAACTTTGTACCTACCCTGTCCAGTCCCAAACTAAGCAGAGCTTGTGTTATGTGTAGGTACCTACTAGACAACAGATATACAGATATAGGTACTTAGAGGTATATTTCTAAATATTTCCATATTATTATAATTAGATAAAAACACCCAGACAGAAGAAATGATCATGCTTATTATAAATCAAACTTTACCTCTTTAGGCTCTTTATAATAAATTGTTGTAGATTACCGCAAATAGGAATATTGATAATATCAACGAGCAACCGCCAAGCCGAATGTTTTCGCACAAAATACATAGGTACAGAAGTCAATCTCATTTAGGTATGTACCTGCTTCACTGTTTATACCTACGTGCTCGAGCGCGCTTTGTATGTAGTTATACCATAGAACTAACTAGGTACCTTTATATTTTGTGGCTATCGTGCTCCGTGAGAACTCGATTGGGGTTGTCAACTATACTTTTTATTACGTTTCTTACTTTATTTTTAGCAAGTAAACATACTTTTAGGTAATTACCTACTTTTACGAAAACTAAACAAATACAACAAATATTGTAGGTAACTATTAGGTTTAGTAGGTACATAAAGTTATTCGTACTTAGAAAAAA